ACAGATGCTTCAGCTGAAAGCCTTCTTCTGTAAACTAAACAAAAGAAAGGGAATAAATAACTTTGCTTAAAAGGAAGGCGGCCTCCCTCCATTTTAAGGGAGAACAAAAAATCTCTATTTTCTATTCACTTGATAAGCTATTTGTCTCAATCTTGAACTTTACAGGGGCGTAACTGGGGACCCTATATAAGTTAGCTTTTTAAAATTCAGAATCTTCCTTGGTTGTCTTCAACCTGTTCTGGTTCTCAGGTTTGGAGAAAAAAACTCAAGTCTTACAGCCTGAAGAAAAGAAAACAGTAGCTTATCATGAGGCTGGTCATGCAGTCACTGGCTGGTTTCTTGAGCATGCAGATCCACTGCTAAAAGTAAGTGTGTAGAAATTAAAATGGCATCTGGTCTTATTCTGACAATTATATCTAGGTTTCTATCTGGTTTAGCATTATGGCAATAATTCCTATTCAAGTTAACTTAAGACAACTTTTAAACGCAGATAAGGATATTTGTCTTCCCTTTAAAAAAAGCTATGAATATCCTGCTTCAGATTTTAATGTCTATCAATTATAGAGTCACCAAATTTCCTAGCTTGGAACAGACTCCTGCCTAACTTTCATAAATGAAAACATGCCCTCCAGTCTAAACAAAGGGGCATGACTCCTTTTTAAAAAAATATTTGATTAAAAAAAAAAAAGAAATTAAATCTAAAAACTGTCATTGTTATTTAATTTTTTTTATTAAAGATCATAGTACATGAATATACAACTCCCATGCCACCGCCCGGCATTGTAGATATGCACTGGTGGAAATTAGGTGACAGTGGGCACTTATGTCAGTAGAGGGCTAAAAGCCCAAGAACTGTGTAAAACCCACTTTTGAATTTCATTACATTTTCTAATTAGTTAGATCCTTTACAGATTCTTCTTCTTTTTTTTTCTCTTGTTTATTAACAGGATAAATAAGTTAATATAATAATCTTTAATCCATAATTAAAAGTGGATTAATATTTTTTACATAATTGTTCATAAAAATAAAATTGATTTAATATTTTTTCATAATTATTTATTTTTATAATCTAGGTTTCAATTATACCTCGGGGTAAAGGCTTAGGATATGCTCAGTATTTACCCAGAGAACAGTACCTGTATACAGAAGAGCAGGTATGACTCACCTTATAAGCAAAAAATTACCCCTTAAAGTCATTTCTTAGAAAATATGTTTAAACTAATGATCTTGCAATGTTTGTTTTTTTGAAAAATGAAATGTTCTTCCCATTTGTATTTGCTTTTCTTACTTAGCTCTTGGATCGAATGTGTATGATGTTAGGTGGCCGGGTGTCTGAACAGATCTTTTTCAAGAAAGTAACAACAGGAGCTCAGGATGATTTGAGGAAAGTCACACAGACTGCATATTCACAAGTAAGTTATCATATTTAAATATTTGTAATTACAGTAGAGTGATCAGAGGCATATTTTGATGGGCATGACAAAATAAGCCAACTATCTTATTGCTGGAGTGCACTGCGGCAGTCACATCTTAAGCTATGGACTTTATTAAAACTTACACTTACTTACATTAGATACATTACTGTATACATGATAATTGAATTATATTGTCCCCAGCAGCATTTCCTCCTCCTTCCTGCCCAAGGTAGTGATAAACATGAGCAAGCCAAAATGAGAAAAGTAAAATAGGGAACAGCTACTGCATTTACCCTATTTGGCACAAATAACTAACATGGAAAAAGAAGTGCAGTGAATTTCAATGAACCCAGAAAAATGTATTTTAAAAAAAAAAAATTCTAAGTAAAGCATAATCAGCTGATGAGTCAAATGTATTTTCGTTTTCCAGGTGGTCATGTTTGGAATGAATGCGAAAGTGGGTCAACTATCATTTGATATGGGCCAACAAGGGGACATGGCATTCACTAAACCATACAGTGAGGCCACGGCACAGTTGATTGATGAGGAGGTCAGACAGATTGTGCACAATGCCTACCAAAGAACCTTGGAGCTACTTGAAAAACACAAAGAACATGTGGAAAAGGTGTGGTTAATACCTAAAATTTGTTTTCACAGAATGATTTAAAGAATATTCTTTAACCATTAAGCTCTGAAGTCTCCCTTAAATGTCTACAGCAATGTTCTGGCAAGTGTCAGCATTCCTTTAATCCACTTCAACAGATTTATCAGTACTCACGGTTTTTTTAAAACAATTTATAAATGTTTATGTTAATCTATTATCGTTAAAATTTCGATTTAGTTACAATGAAGCTAAGACTTCTGTGACAAGAAATAATTTAAAGAACCGTTGGTTTTTTTTTTAAAGTGTCACTGGACTTATTTTTAACTACATTAAATATTTATAAAATATAATGAAACTTGATTGATGACATCAGGTTGCCGTGAGGCTACTGGAGAAAGAAAAGCTTGATAAAGAAGACATGGTTGAACTGTTGGGCAAAAGACCGTTTGCAGAGAAATCTACTTATGAGGAATTTGTTGCTGGAACAGGTAACTTAAAACCAATTTCATATCACCTTGTGGGCCTGTGGCTTTTGTCATATTTTAAAAATCTCATACGAATTATTACTCAATGGTTTTCAAAGTTACTATTTTCAGATCATATTTTTGAGACCTGGTTATGCTTAAAATTTTGGATTACAATGTAGGATTGTGAGATGACTTTTAAAATTGCACTCTAAGACCTTTCAGTAAACAATTTTAAGACGGGTCGAAATTTTCAAATTTAAAAAAGGTCACTTTAAAGTCACTTAACAGCTGTACTATTTAATACCCCAATTTGATTCCAGCACTTCTCCTCTCTTCTCCCAATACAACTTTTTGGTTCCAGTGCTCCCCTTTTCCAATACAGTTTTGGATAGTTATTAGCAGAGAAATAAAATCAGGCTCCAAAACTGAACTTTTGTGGCCAGCAGGATGTATCACAAATGAACTTATTTCTTCATTTAATTTGGGATTATTTTTATTTCTTTGCATAAACACACATTTTAAATATATATATAAAGTACTTTTTATGACTGTATAGACAGTTTGACCTCATTTTTGGATTGATTTTAAAAGATTTAAATAAATACCCGGTAATATCAAATGTTAAATAAAACTATAAAACAATTGTACTGTTTAGTAACTAATAAAATTAAAGGATCAAGCATTTCTTCAGTTGTTTTCCAGTGTTGAATGATGCAAAACTAAATTCATGTATGCTCTAAAATGCATCCCAACATCTAAAATGTATACACTTTGGCTCTACCAACTGCCCCGGATGGGATGGGGGTGTTTGGCATCTATAATTTCTGCCCCCCATCCTATCTTCATTTATTAAAGTGATGGGCATCTTTCTACTTTATGATGAAGCAATGTATAAAAATATATTAAAGTCAGTCATCTAATTTGGGAAAGTGACCTGTTTTTTCAGATGTGAAGGGAGTAGTTGTATACATTATACTGTGTGTTTATTTATTTACTATTACATTATGGTAATTTGCAATTTTGAGATGTTAAAGAAAGTACTATGCTGAAACAATATTGTACTATTTTGAAAGTTCCAGGGTAACCAGGTCTGCATCTATAGTGTTCTTATAAGCTGGGCTTATCTCCAGTATATGTGACTTTACCATATTATAGACTAGCGAGAGAAAAATCTTCTCCCCCCCCCCCCCCCCCTCTATTAGTATTCCTAGTATTCAATTTCACTGGAATTGCTGAATAACTTGTTAATATAATATTTTACAGGTTCATTTGAAGAAGACACAACACTGCCAAAAGGTTTAGAAAACTGGAATAAAGAGAAAGATAAAAAACAGCCAGACCCAGTAGAGGCTTAGTGAAACTTTCATTATTTAGGACCTCAATGGCTGCAGACATTTATACTAAATAATTTTTTTCAAAGTAAAAAGAAGTTTGTTGTTCTCAGCCTATGGAATCAAAATGTTCAGTACATGTATCAGTAGCATATTTTAACATATTTCAGCTTACATAAAAAATATGTTGCAGTAGAATATCCTCACACAGGCATTAACACATTCAAATTAGTGATGAGGCACAAAGTGATACAGATACAAGACTATCTTGTACATTGTAGTGTCGTGATAACTGTACTTCCCAATGTTGTCAACATGGGCTAATGTATGCCACTCTCCTTCATGAATGACAGATAAAATACAACTCAATAATAGAAACATAGATCACGAGTTCCAAATATAACCTTACAACCCTAAAATGCAAAGAACTGTTAGTTAGAAAGGGAACACTTGAATACTTATCTTATGGAAACTAAACATTTTCAGCAGTTGCTAACCATTTAAACAAAATTTTATCCATGTAAAATTGTAAATGGATCAAATAATTCAGGGTAGTCCCATCTAACTACGAAAGAATAAAACTGATAATCCTTTGACATCAGGCATTTTTAAATTACTTGAAAACAATATTTTTTTTTTTCACATTTAAAACTAACCCGACAAGGAACATCCATCCTTATGATTTCAGACTCAGGATTTTCAAGAAATACTATCAGGAGTGCAGTATTTTATGTTTATTTACATTGATTGTTTAAATAGCATGTATATTTTAAAGTGGGCAGAGCAAGAGTGTGAGCTCTTTAATGGTATTTTAATGTATTGGTATTGTACAACTGAACTAAGACAATAATTGTGTGTGGCAACAGATTTACTTTATATAAGTTTTGTATTGACTTGTGTTAGATTGTTGTGTGACAGGAGAGATGCATGAATGCAAATTACTGTGAACCAAAGGGGCACAATTTGCATAACATAAATTTCTTTCATGTAGTTTGTATTGTTTTTGATGATGTCTTTCAAGTGTTCCATTAAAGTTAAAGAATATTGTTCCATCACAAAAAAGTTTATTATATATATTTTTTTCCAGAAAAGAGCACACAGTGGACAATGCTGCTGTTTTCAAGTTTAAGAACATTTAAATATTCTACTTAATTCATGCACCAACCATGAACTATGCCTTGATTTTTTTGATTTTAAGCCACAATCATCCAGCATAAGAGAGATACTTTAAGTCAGCATAATAACTCAATCTCTCATGATATAAAAGTTTTAAAAAAACACAGATACACCTTTTTTATGAAATCCCAGAAAAAAAGAATTTTTTTTTTTTAATTTCAATTAAAATACTGCAATATTTCACAAAAGTAATCTTTACTGAAGGGCTGTGCATTGGCAAGTTTTTAAAAAAAATTGTTGGCTTATTGTGCTTATTAAACGGAGATGCTCACATGAGGCATCATCATTGCTCAGAAAGTCATGAACGACAATTTTTTTATAACAAAATAATTATAAATAAAATTGATACATTTTTCTTTGAAAGTAGCTTTAAACATTTTGGGGACTCGGTGAAACATTTGTACTGCATACAAATAATATAATCGTTTGTCTCTCAGTAGGCTACATTGGTGAGTGTCCAAAAGGCTCACTTTTTAATAAATCTGAGTTTATTTGCAGAAAGCAACAAAACAAAACACTAATTAATCATTTATAAGTAATCATAAATTATCAGTTCAACAAAAGTTGCCCAACATTTAAAAGCCATTATGGATTTCCACTGAGCTATTTTATGTGTGTGTATGTTTCACAAATATTTTAAGAACATTATCACAGTCACAGTTGATTATATGTTGATGTACCGGTACTCTACTTTTTTAATATCAAAGCTACATTACCAAGTCACATTGAAATACATGGAGCTTAGTAAAATGAATTATATTAATATTGATTAACTTACAGGTGCTTCTTGAAAGTAGCAACATCATTGAAATGCCAATATTACACATCCCTGCCTTAACATCATCACATTCAATAGTTTTTTACAAAAAATAAAATCATTATTACATAATAAAAATTTGTATTGTTATAGTTATGTACAGAAATAGCCAGTTTAAGATAGCCTAAGTCAAGGTTTACACTTCTTTAAAAAACTTAGTTTATGCTTAACTACTTGACAGAATGATAAAAAGTTGCTGCAAGTTGGTATTTCACAGTCATATTTTGTTACAATTTAATACTACATTATTTTCACAAGTAAATTAGAGAAGGCCACAGAGACACCAGGTCTTTACACAAATGTTGAAAGACTTGCAAATAATCATCAAGACATGCAATTATTTTATCAGTTCATATTATCAGAACCCAAAGGGATTTTATTCAAGAATTTTAATTTTAAGGACTATTAAATATTTGTATATTATACCATTGATATAATGGCAAAAGTATATGGATTTATTATGAATCATCCATATCAATGGTATAGAGTAAATTTGTAGTCGATGTCTGGTTATAAGGTAATCTGCATATTTATTTGTTTATGTAATAACTGCACATCAAAATTCAAATTCTTTATTGTGATTTTAAGTAATTCAGGTCATTATTCAGCAAATTACAATTTTGGGCCGCCATAAATTTTAAAATAATTGTATGCAACGTAATTGTATAAAAAAGAAAGGGCCCTGAGTGATTTACTCAGTTCCCCTGGCATATACACAGCTCTGGTTCGAACCATGATTGATGGATAAAATATCTGTTCATTTAACACTTATAAACATGAAGGGAACAGAGAAGTGACAAAGTTGAGAGCAGTTCTCAATGTGGTCAAGCAGTATCCTTCCTCTCCCATCATGTAACTGAAATGAAACAGTGAAATAAGAATCAGTTAATAAGAATCAGTAACTTAGACAGCATTAGCATGACCTCCAGCTAATGATTTATGATAAATATCTAATTAAATAAATGAAATATTTTGGGACCAAGAGATCACTCTAATTCATCTATTGACGGATTTATCACACTAATGCCTAACCCATTTTTTTCCTTTGAATTAAAGCTCATATTTCACTGATATTTTAAAATATTTCAAATCTTTGAGAGAAAAAAGGCATGCAAACACGGCTCATGAAATGTAATAAAATATTTATATGGCAAAAGAATTTATGATCAGAGCTGAGTTATCTAAACAAGTCTGAAGGATTTTAAATAAAATACCACAATTTTTTTTCTTTAATAGTTTGATGTACCCATGGGTGTGCAAACCAAAGCCAGTCGCATGATACGATAAGATAATATATATATACTTATTTTTTTTTAAAATAAATAACACTTTCAGCATTTTTTTAAATTTAGATGTTGTGGGTCATACTATAAAAATAATCATGTGGCATGGTTGAAAATCCTTGACGAAAAGAATTCGGGGAATATCTTTGAACTAATACTTTGGGATTTATCACGAGGCATAAATAGTGGCCTTTACAATATGAACATTTCTCACCCTTCATGAATAAACTCAGTCATAGCATAGCACTCTGCACTCAGCTGGGGCAGAGCACTCTTGATAATCACATAGCTCAGTATAGGCAGCAGATCATCTGCACCTCTATAATGAACATCAAAAAAATTATTTTATAACACGCAATGAACTTTAAAATTAAAAAAATAGTATAAATATCTATTTCCAGCAGCAAAGACAGAAAAGAATGGAAGCCATGGTAAATATAGTTAAAGACCTGTATTTCGTTGTTTCACCGCAACCATCTGTATATTGGTTATACTTACACAGATGGTACTTTCTTTCCTTCCTTTTCTCCAATCCCTTTGCAGTAATGATCATCAACACACTTACAAATAAGACGACAGACTTTGACTACAGATTGAAAAAATAAATAATAAAGTGTCACTGATGTAATAATAGGTTTAGTAAATTCATATTTTCCTATGTTTACATTTCTGTGACATATTCTGTAATTGTACCCAGTCAGCTAAAGGCCTAAATGACCATCATGCCTCTCTATTACTATATATATATATATATTTTTGTGTTGTGTTTGTCCCAATAGCGTATTTTTCTAAGCCTGTCCTATGTGCTACCAAGCATTTGCGGACCTTGATTGACGGGTGCAACATTTCAGCTAAGTTTTAATTTTTATATTTAGTTAGTCTCTTGCTTGTTTGCTGAAGGACGCTTGTTGCCTATACTTCATTGTTTTATGGCATCCTTTTTTTCAGGTTTTCCAATACCTTGTTTCACACATTTCCTTTTACCTAAACCTGATTGTAGTCTCCCCCCATTATTATAGATGAGGCAGAACCTGGTACATACAGGCAGTCACTAACTCTTAAACAGGAGAGGCCCTATCATGCACTAAACCATTTTTTTTAACCCCCCCCCCCCACACACACACACACAAATCACTAAATCATACAACTCAAAAACCCTTTCCTCTGCTTCCCATTTTACCAAACAGTTAATGGTACATACAGGCAGTCACTAACTCTTAAACAGGAGAGGCCCTATCATGCACTAAACCATTTTTTTTAACCCCCCCCCCCACACACACACACACAAATCACTAAATCATACAACTCAAAAACCCTTTCCTCTGCTTCCCATTTTACCAAACAGTTAAGTGATTAAAAAAACAATATTCTCTTCACTCATACAGCATATGTACAGAGCTTAAAATTTTGTATGCATATTGTTTGCATATTCTTTGTTTTTTTGTGTTTCATTTTTGTGTGTGGGTGTCATGTGCTTTACAATGCAATTTGGGTGGAACATTCATAGAGTTTTTGATTCTCTGTAAATTTTGACATGTGTGGTATAAAAATTGACTCGACTAGTTGACTGACCTACACATTCCAGTTTACTTAGCATGGTATAATAATCCTGGACATGCAACAGTTCTGTGATGGCGGCCTGGTAGGGTTGGCTCTCACCATCAGCATCCACCAGACACAGCTTATCAGATACCTTCATCTCTTTAGGGGTGATGGTTGCGTACTTGGTCATGATGCAAGCCAAGACCCGCTCTTGTTTGTAGTAAACAACTCTACAATCATGGAACAAAATAGTTAGCAAATTAAAATATAGTAGGTGACATGCAAAATGAAAACAAGTTAAGATGTTGCTATCATTTTTAAATGCTAAAACCCATCCCCCTGCAATATCAAGGTTTCAGTGATCAAAGGTTTCATCACTGAGTAGATTTAAAATGAAATGATCATTTATCAAGTGTTAACAAATGTGTTTTTGTTGTATTTTGTAATCTTAGGAGTACTAAAAAAATCTGAATATTCATTATTGGATATGGTACCTTTCTAATTGTGTGCTTTTCAAATTAATTTTCTTTTTTCAAAAGTTTTTCTTTGTTGCAATAATTTTGAAGGTATTTTTTAAAAAGTTAATTTTATTTAATGATACATAAACATATGAATGCGTTATCAAATTGGAAACAAAGTTTGCTTATTAGAGATTACTGTTTATTTATGCACCAGAAGAGAATTTGGTACTCAAAGAATGAGTCAAATTTAAAAGCAATGCATTAAAAAAAAAAGTTATATTTTGCATCTGTTTCATATTGATCAGTGTTCCCACATTGGGTGTTTGTGTATTGGGAAATTTGAAGACTATTGGGAGGAGGGGGGAGGACGGAGTAAATGTATTCAATTTTTGTTAAAAAGGAGGAGGGGGCAACATTAGAACAATTTTTAAACGTTAACCACAGCTTTTGTTGTCCCTTATTACATAACAAAGATATTTCATTTTATACCGGTACTACAATGTTGATTCTTGAGACCTAAAAATATTTGAAATTGAATACAATCTTCCTGATGGCAGCAAAGAGACCTCTCTTTTTTTTTTAGTTCTTCCACTTGGTGGCGAGGGAGGACATTGATCCTCTTAAGGTGCTCAGGTGGGGATAAAGGACAAATAGTTTGGGAAACACTGATTTAGATCATTGCGCCGTGCAAAGACCTAGTTTATTTCTTCTTTTTTAGTCCAAGTGGGGGTGTGTGGGTAGCTTTTTAAAAGCTCAATTATTTGGCTCTTCATTGGTAATAATTTAGAAATTAATTATTTAAAAAATTTCAAACAAAAAACAATATTTGGAAATTGTTGCAGACACTTGAACTTTTCCAAAATACATCATTTCTAATAATGTTAGAATTTTTTAGGGTGTTAAACATTGAGCACTAAATCTACAGTGAAGAACAAATGAGAAAGTCTGACTTGAAACATTTCATTTTAAGTGAAAAATAATCATGAAAAAAAAAAAAAGGAATATGACTATTTTTAGAGAGCTTCAAAAACTCAACCTAAATAGCCTGAGCAGAGTTTTCCATATTGGTTTGAAGAAAGGTTCCTCCAATGACACAGCACACTGATCTTTTCCCACAGGAGTGTCTAGTGGCTCATAAGCTATTGTCAGCATGACCAGAAGTTTTTCTGCATACAAAATATATTTGAATTCACCAATCAGAAGAATCTTTACAGGCCAAATAGCAAAATTTATGTTTTTTGAAGAGTTAAGAAACTATTTTTAAGAATGATACTTGGTTCAGCTATGCAAAAATGCTGTTATTAGATGTTAAAAGAAGTCATCTACCCGTTGCTTGTAATAGTGAACATTAAACTGTCATCTGGAGTTGATTTTACTCTGCCAACCACCATGGGATATATTATTTGAGATAATTATTTGTTTCAAAGTTGATTTATTTCATTGACACCATGAAGGAAAAAACGAAAGAAAAAAAGAACATAGGTCACATTTTGACAAACTTAATTAAAATATGGCACATGTTTTTATTTGCCTGGCTAAGTGTAGCTTAAATCTCTAACCATATTCCTTTCTGGAGTGAACATAATTTATGGTTTAAGTTTTATTTCCAGTTGTTTATTCGACAGTCCTAGTAAAGAAAAGCGCATTTTAAAATTTTTTTTGCTGTGGATTAAGGATGCTGAGTGATACATTTAAAAATAAATTTGATAATGATGCCACCAGTAAACAGATTTTGGAGGGGGCACAATAAAGCTGTCATTATTTTAGAATACATTCTATAGAAATAGATGACATATGAAAGTTAAACATAATGTGAGTCTACCATTATGCCTCCCCACCACAAATTTAAAAAAAAAAAAAAAATACTGCCAAAGGATGTGGAAATATTAGGAAAGAATATAAATTTACCTAAATATCTGTGAATATCTTCAGCGATAGACTTGAGGTGTCTCTCATAAGCATCCATATTGAGCTCTGAGAACTTCCTGTGGTCAACTTCATCTTTGCCAAGTCTCGCTGGCAAACTTTGATAGTGGTCTGCATCGTCCTCACACACAAAAGAAGCGGGAGGCTGATGGCTAACACTTCGGTCCAATGGTGTGCTGTCAGGGGGTTTCAAAGGTGATTTCTCGGGCACAGACGGCAGCACACTCGAGTTATCTTTCAGAACGTTACAGGTCTTAGGGTTGAAAATTTCATCCTCGTAGCTGTTGTCATCGTTATCATCATCATCAAAGAGATAGTCCAGGGTGTCCTCATCAAAATCTACCTTATCCAACTTGTAAGAGCTGTAGTCTCTTGTGACCTGACGCATCAGTAACTGAGCCTGCTTTCGTTCCCATGACAACTGTGTGGTCAACTCTTGCCCTTTTTCCAATGCCAGATCAAGGTCTTTCTTTGTTTCTGACACAGCAGTGGCAAGTTGACTTTGGCCTGCACTGTTACAGAATGGTTTTAAATTATTTTGACCTCCATCCTCTGAAACTGTGCTTTCATATGTTGGCTCACCACTTTGATTTTTTTCATTACAGGAATGAGCACTTCCATCATTCAGCACATCACTTGTATCATTGAGAGTGTTAGTCTGGTTTTCCTTTTTCTCTGCGATTACATTTTCAGTAAATTCTTGTGATGGGGAACGAACACACAGAGGATCACTCCAAGAATCTGGACCTATATCTCCTGACTGAATTTTGTCATTCTTAAAGTCATTGTGACTATTTGTTATGGTATCAGTCTCAGCAGGGCCGTCGGTGCAATCTTCTTGGCTTGATTGGTTGTCAGAGAGAGGCAGAGTTTGTTCCCTGGTTTCAGTAGGAGATGGATATGAAAATACTGTGGTGTTTATAATGTCAGCAACATCATCTAGTGATGGCCAGGCTGTTTTAAGGAATGGGACCTAAATTAGAAACACCAATTAACTTTATCAACAAGTTTTTACAAATATAGGTGAATAAAACACATCATCCAGCCCCCTTTCCAAACTCCAAATTAAGGATAAATAATCTGTGTTTAAAGATAAATATTGTAGTATATGTAGCTAGAAAACTCTGAGGAGACCTTTAATGACCTATGACATCCCCCACCAACTCCCTATTTGCACAGACAAATATAAAATCCTTATTATTATCCCCCCCTCCCCACTTGGGAGGGAGGTGAATTAAGTTTGATAATATATCCTCCACTCCAAACTTGGGAAATTATATTTGCAGTTCTGAATTAAACCCCAACCTGATTGGATGTGCCTGGTGTAACTATGCCGACCTGGCATGGTAGGAGATGGAGCTGCAGGACTGGACAGCTGTATAGAGAGTTATCGCAGGAAACAATATTATTTTCTCCAAATCTATTTGTAGCATGAATACAAAAAGCACATATGTACTGTAGCCTTGCACCATTAGAGTGGTTCTTGTCGTTTTTTTTGCATGGACCACCACTGCTAGTCTGGTAAAGTGCATGGACCACCACTCCTGTTCAGGTGAGGTGCATGGACCACCACTGCTAGTCTGGTGAAGTGCATGGACCCCCACTGCTAGTCTGGTGAAGTGCATGGACCACCACTCCTAGACTGGTGAAGTGCATGGACCCCCCATTGCTAATCTGGTGAAGTCCATAAGTTGTAAATTGCAGTTTGAAGATATTGGAAATAGATAAGACTTTGTCTACTACACTACCTCCAAAACCCTATTCATGGAACCTTACAGGACCACTGGACTGCACATTAAGATCCCTCACAGCAAAGGCTATACACATACTAAGAATCTTTCAAAGAATGAATTATCTAAATATACATTGAGAGATGAACTTTACTTTTATCTGCTCCAACTCTGCATGCTTGTTTGCCACTAGAGGGTACAACCTGTCATAGATCTTGACTTGATACTTCCGTAAAAGTTCTGTTAAAGGATGATCAGCACACCTGAGAATCTCTGCCACCAGCTGACTGATGAGAATGGGATCCTCAGGGTTTGATTCCAGTTTATTTCTCCAATTCTGCAGCCATTTCTAGAGCAAATGGTGATCAAATTAAAAAAGTGAAAGTAACTTTGCTCCAGTGTTTGAGGGCTGTGAATTATGTCAAGCTACATTTTTCTATTCTTCATACCATGTAATAACTTATGAAATGTATGCCAAGTAACCACAAGGATTAATTAATTACTAGGCCAACTATTGGTTAAGTAATGGAACAGACATAAAAATAAGACCTTCTATTAAGTTTTATGTCACCAAACAAAATATGACACATTGATAGTGATGTGTACCGGATACCTAAAACCCAAACCAAATAAGACACATTTATAGTGATGTATACCTAAAACCTAAGCCAAATAAGACATATTTATATTGATGCATGCCTAAAACCAAACCAAATAAACACATTTATAGTGATGTATACCTAAAACCAAACAAGACACATTTATAGTGATGTATACCTAAAACTAAACAAGACACATTTATAGTGATGTATACCTAAAACCCAAACCAAATAAAGACACATTTAAAATGATGTATACTTAAAACCTCGGGTGCTAATTCTCTAGCTCTTGTTTGGTGAATTTAAAAAATATAACATAGGGCAAACACAGCTGTTAAAAGCTGACAGAGCATCAAGATGAAACTGTGATCACTGTTAAATCCCATTATAACAGATTTAGATTCAAGGGTGCCTTAACTGACCTATCTGTGAGAATGTGTAACTACCTACTACTAGAATGGCCAAGTTTAAAAATATGGCTTGCTACAAAAGTAGGGTTCAAGTTGTATCTAACATCATGTCACACACACATGGTGTACACTCACAGCTTCATTTTCATATGCCAATATCTTTTTGTAGATTTGTCTCTGCTCTTGCTCCTCTTTAGACATTCCAATGGGTGTGGCAAATCTCCTTTTTTTTTTTTTTTTTTTTTTTAAATGGAAAATTTTTTATTTTAAAACTAGGGGGAAAATGTTTATAAAGAAACTGATTGAAAAAGAGTTTCATTTTCTGTTGACATTTTGGTAATAAAATCAAATGTGCCTTGATTTAACACTAATTATCATTTTAAAAAAACAAAAAAAAACAATTAAAAACAACTTTTTTTTCCCTTTCATGTAAAGCTATTTCAACAAAGAATAATAATATTGTTGAATCTTTGATCATAAAAGAGGGCCATGATTTCCTTAAACCCCAACAAGAAGAAAATTAATTGACTTTATCAAGCCATCATTTTTAAACTCACATTCAAATCAAGTTGATTAAAAAATTAACTATGGCTGTGTAGTCATCATCATCATCATCATCATTAGGGCCATGGCCAGCTCCACCAAATCCTTCCTTTTGGACTGATCCATGGCTTTTTGCCCCCAAGTACGGATCTTCAGCTGATTTAAGTCCTCTACGTCATCAATCCATCTCTTTCTCGGTCGACTGGTAAGCTGTCTGTCCCTGTTTCTTTCTGTAGATCAATTTCACCGCTCTACAAACCGGCATTCTCTCATAGTGTCGTGTCCTGCGCAGCCTGCCCCTTTTAACTGCCCTGACTATGGATGAGTTTTTAACGTTTTAAAGTTTTAAGGCTAGTCTGTTATTTTAGTAAAAGGACAACTTACTTGGCAGCTTCATCTTCCAGTCTTTGGTTTCTAGCTTGCATTTTTCTGGCCAGCTTTAAATTGGAAAAGATTATTAAGCTGTCATAATTTATGTAAATGGTATTCGAAACATTTTCCAAAAGGTAAATACCTATCCTCTTCAATATTATACTCTATTGACTATCAAAATAAAAAATAATTTAAATTTTTTACCAATTGGAAATAATTTTCTCTATTTAAAAAAAAAAAAAAAAAAAAATGGAAAGCAGGCATTTCAAAAATTATCATTAAATATATTTATAAACAAAAGTTTCATCACCTCTTCTTCTTGGGCCTGGGCTATGGCTATATTCTCCGCCATTTTCCTTTGAATGGTTAAACTCTGAAATCATAAAACAATACATAATTTGGTTATAAACATAAAAATATTTCCACTTGAAGATGACCTTATTTATTTTCATGCACAAAGAAATGTGCATTTTTAATTTTTTTTAAATCTCACAAATATCCTTGGGTATTGTATTAAAAAAAAATAATCTGCTTCTATTAGTTTTGTTAAGTAAATTAGAATGTTTTTATTGTATATGTTTTCCTTTTTTTTTTTGAAATGCTGAGAGCATAACAATAAATTGAAATAGGAACATAATTCGATTTGTTTGGATCAATGAAGCAATCTAACTTTATCCTTTAATGAATATTCTTACATAATTAAAAGCATTGAAATCAGAGCGATTAAGTCTGTTCATTCTAGCTCTGTATGCTGTCATAAGTGACTGGTTCTGTTTTTGGGCAATTTCCATTGGTGTTAACACACGGGTCCTATAATATATTTTTATAATGGATTTTAAAAAAAAAACATACTATCGATTCCAGCAATAGTTCATTTGACATTTCAAAATACAATAAACAGAAAAAAACAAATATTTGCAATAAAGGATAATTAATTTACTATGTTGTTTCAAAATTAGAGTGCAAATTAAAAAAATATATATATATTTAAAATGATTCTCTTCATAAATAAGGTCCCAAGGGAAGAGTTTTCAGTTAATTTCATTTTAGTTATGACATTTAACAAATGATGTGATGGTTACATTGTTTTCTAATTAACAAAAAAAAAATTTACCTCTGCACTGTGAACACATATGGATTGTTTTCTGGTGGTAAAGTGGGCATGATGGCATTTAATTGTCTTGTCGATGGAGTGGTCTGTTGTATTACAGGGGGAAATAATGGAGATTGTGGTTCTTGTAATGCTGAAATATATTTTGCAAGTTAGGAATAAAGTGTTACCCTCCCAGCTTTGGTTGTTAGATTGTATGCTAATTTATCTTTTCCTTTTAGAGTCCAATATCAAAAGCACATCTTTAATTTGTTTCAAATGCAAATAAGGATATCATATTATTAATTTCTTCCAAAAGATAAATTCTTCATCTGCTGTGGGTCAATATTCAATAAGTTTAATTTTAGATTTGTAAAAGCAAAATTATTTCTTAAACTACAGTCCATAATTTGCTAATTTAGCAAATAAATATTAATCAATAAAATTTTAGAAATGTGATAGGTAAACTACTATCTTGTATGCAGTTCATAAAAAGATTTTAATTATATTTCAAGAGGTAAGAAGTAATTTATATTTTGCACATGTAAGATTGGAAATTGGATAAAGCTCATAAAAATTAAACTTACATCTAGGTGGGACTGATGTCAGAGAAGTTAAATCAGAGCTGTGATAGGAAGTTGATTTGCCGATACATACTGAAGATGGCTTAATCTTCTGTGTATCTAGGAAAATATATTATATTATATTATAAATATATACAATTGTATTCAAAGGTGTCATCCTATGATTGCAAATATTATAATTTTATGCCATGATCCCTATTAAAAGAGTAATAATATCAATTAACCAAATAAAAGTAATCAATCAAACAATTAAACCCAAAATAGTATTCATGTTTACATCATTTGGCCTTGTGACACAATGGTCATGTTGTTGGCCCCTCAACCAAGAGGCAGAGTGTTTGAATTGATCTGGATATTTCCCAGTTATTCCAAAATAGCCATGAGGAATGGACGTGTCAGACCAGAAAGGCGCAGTTATGGTTAGATAAGGGGTCCTCAAACTATCGCCCACTGTCCAGATCCAGCCCCCCAGGGTTCTTTAGCCTGGCTGCCATAAGTGTACCAGAACTGGATATTGCTAACAGGCCCATTCGTCCCATTGAACTACTAATAACTTAATGTTAATTAATATAATTATTCTTCATTTTTCTACTTTTTCTTTATTAGCACCACAAATAATATATGTGCAGTGCATATAGGAATACATTCATGTTTTTTTTAAAACTATAGTCCGGCCCCCAACAGTGTATGGAGGAAAGTGAACCAGACTCCTGGGTTAGATGGTAAACTTGAGCCAGTTTCCTCGTAAAGTACCTGGGTGTTACCATTCAAAGAGAGGTCCGCTGGGACGAGCATATTAACAATGTATGTAACCAAGCAAACAAGACCCTAGGGTTCTTAAGGTGAAATCTAAAGATTGGCAACTCCTGTGTGAAAGAAAGAGCATATAAAGCCTTTGTTCGTCCGGTTTTAGATTATGCATCATCAGTCTGGGACCCATTTACCCAGAGGAGCGTTGACAGGTTGGGGCGGTCCAGCGACGAGCAGAGCGCTTTGTCCTAAACCGCTACAGGAATAGCTCTAGTGTTGGCAGCATGCTGGAAACACTAGGCTAGGCTGGTCACCATTGGAGGAACAACGACGACAATTCAGGCTCTCCATGATGTACAAGATAAAAAATGGGCTGGTCCACTGTTCCAGTATTAAACAGAAACTCGTCCCTCTCCCCCATAGACAGCGACAAGGCCATGACAGGCAATTCAGGCTCATTCCAGCAAGAAGCCAGTATAGGAGCTGCTCATTCCTGCCCAAGACAATCAGGGACTGGAACAAGCTTTCAAAAGGAATGGTTGAGGCGACAACACTAGACACATTTGTGTCTATTGCCTCAAGCCTTCAAACCCCTTGTGCATGATTCCCTCACAAAGTGGCACTGGAAATCAGTGAAATTTCCTCATCAACACCAGGAACAGAAACATTGCAAATCCCATCTACATGCATAGGAGCCAAAATGATCAATAAATTGATCGTGGGCCCTTAAGATATAGAAGAAGAAGAACTCTGTGTAAAAAAATCTCATGCCGCAAAGTGCAGCCAAATTGCAGTGGCATTAAAAATTAGCTATTTAAGCTATTATTGCCTTTTTCTCCTTACCAGATAAGTTTTCTAAATATATTTTAAAAAACCAAAGGTATAAATGTTAACAGAAATATTTTATCCAACAGAGAATATTCTTGTAAGGAAAAATTATAAATAAAATATTAAAGCAAAACAATTTAAATATTTCATGATAGCGGCTCCCCCACTCTCCTATAAAAATATTATGAACTGTGTACGCTTAATGACTGTTGCATGCTGGAAATGTCTTACCCATTTTTTTCACTAACTCAGCAACTCTGTCAACACACTGCTGCACTAGTTTTACTTGCCGACAGGTCTTGTGGTCTACCACTACATCTCCACCTGGTACATACAAATGAATAGAGAGTAATTTGTTTTTGTCTTAAAAACGGTATTAAAATAAAACCATATTTCCGAAAGATTGAATATAATAATCATTATACTGTCATGGTATAGTACTAAAATAAATAAAATCATAGGAATGTTAATTGCAAAATAAATGAAGTGACATACTCTCATCAGGTATCATAAACTCACCTGCTAATTTCATTGCCAGAACAAGGTTGGTTGCTATCTTGTAAATGCAGCTTACATATTTCTTATAAGCCTCCTGTGGAAAAAAGGTCTAAAATTGTACTTTTCAAAAGAAAAATAATCTAATAATTATTATATTATGTTTTATTAGAAACAATGCTAAAAAAATATACTTATTTGTTATTGATAATAAAGATCTGCATCTAGCAGCCTTAGGATTATTTCTTGCCCACAGGGTGGTGAAATAATTAGCAGTCAAGGAACACAAATTAGGGGCCAACTCATCAGGACATCCCCTCTTTTATGAGGAAGCTAACTATTGGCGTTTTCTGGTTTGTCCACCAGCAATGGGTGGTCATTAAAAATTCAAATTTAAATTTATTTTAAATTGATTTTAAATTAATTTAACATGTAACATTGATTATGAGTCCAGGTGGTGCTTTGCACAAATAAAGAATTCTTTAAGAAGTCTTGATCAACTTTTTCAACCTTTTTATCTTATGATATCTTATGACACACTCAAAATAATACCTCAAATTCTGCCACACATGTATCAAGTATCAATCTAAAATATGTACTTTTGATAAGGATCAGCATCCAGTAACAACATATTTTTTCTTTAATATCACAGCCACAATCTTACTTCCAGGGAAAATGTCCATACAAATTTGTTTCTCCCTGATTTTTCAATCCTTACAATAAAAATCTGACGACCCATTTATGAACCTTTGTGACATGATAAGACTAAGAGTGTTATTAATGTGTACGCTTCTTTGCCATTGGGTAAAAAGTAAGCAAGAGATATTTGTTTTGTATATCAAAGTTTTTCACTAACGAAATCCTATGATCAGGTAATATTTTCACCCAGAAAGACCACTTTACATGTATAGCTTCCTATAAGGACTCTCAAGAAACCCTAGTAATTACCAACTGCTCATATTTATTTTTTATTATCAATTTTATAACTGGCTATGAAAAAGGTGAAGTATTGGTTATTTACACTGACCTTATCTTTGCTCTCATTATCTAGTTTCAGAGCCTCCCCAACTTCTTTCATCAATGAGGGAAGGCTTGTTTCCATTATGCTTTTTTTTAAAGTTTAATATATTTATAACTTTTTTTCTGTGATTTTTTATACTTCTAAATGAACACACAATAAAAACAAGCAAAAATGTGTCAGTTGATCTGAAAAAAAAAAAAAAAAAAAAAAAAAAAATTAAAAAAAAAAAAAACATTAAAAAAATAAAATAAAAAAAAAAAAAACAAAAATTGTTTCCTTTATGTTTTTTTTTAAAGTTTAATAAATTTATAACTTTTTTTCTGTGATTTTTTATACTTCTAAAAGAACACACAATAAAAACAAGCAAAAATGTGTCAGTTGATCTGAAAAAAAAAAAAAAGAAAAGAAATACAATTATAAAAGAAATAAACTTTTAAAAAATCTATTTACAAACATGTCAGCGATCTGAGATGTTATGTACCCTACATAAAATACCAACAGCAGCTGTAGAAACCTCCATAACTAAGAATGATGCAACAGAGTCATGAGGCTATAAGGCTGAAACTTCTAAAAGGTTAAGAAAAAAAAGAAAACTGTCCATCACATAAAGAAATATTAAACAAAACACATCAAGTACCAAGATGTACAAGAAAGTTTGTTTGACTATTAAAAAAAGAATGAATAAATGAATCATATAAATATAAAGGCAAAAAAAGTTTTTTTAATGAAAATTTTATTTGAATTGAATTTAAACAGTTTCTTCATATCAATGTGAAAAAAATTCCACTGTTACACAATTTAGTGTTTCACAATAATGCTAGGTTGACTCGATCTGTAGTGTTAAATATGATTAAATTTACTATATCAGCTTTAGAGAAGCATTGTGAAATAATTCTTGGGTCAATTACATTTTTCAGTTCTATTTGACCAAGATTTAGTTAAACTTTTTGCTTTGAGTTGGAGTCATGCTAGGTTCCTATTTAAATTTTCTTTCCAATTTCGTGACGACGTGGGACAAGGGTGTATAATTTTTTTGTTTACTTTTTAGTGACCAGGGGGGGAGGGGGTGTCCAAATTTTATAAAAAATAGTGAAATGTCATTTGTAGATGGCTACATATTTATTCAATCAATTAATAATTAAAACTAGGTTAATCTTTTATAGTCTCCACTACTCACCTATCAAATATATTATCTTATTATATTCATATAACCAAGCAGGTGGATAACTCACTACCAATTGAAATAAGTTAATTAATTATTAAGTACATAATTTAAATACTGAAGTGTCTGCCTGTGAGTCACTGTCACGGGACTCTAGCACCACCAGCAGAAGTGTACAATGTATTTATTGAATTTATAAAGCTTATATATCATGAGCATGATTAGGTCACTAACAATTTTTTTTTACCATTAATTAATTCCTTATTTAGAGACCTCTCCTAACAATGGTTTACCATTAATTCAATATTTAGAGACCTCTCTAATATAGACAATAGAGCAACACCAGTTCTCAAAATTGAGCTACATTGACTTCATTGAGATTGAATGACGGTAACACATAAGCATTATTATTTTTGATTTCCTATTATCTGTTTCTTGTTTTGTATTGTCTGTTGAAGGCATCTACCCGAAATATCCTTTTAACAGTCTATTAGTAAGTATTAAATTTTATTATTATCTATTGATATTGAATTATCCTGTCTATTCATTTCAAGGCTCAACATTTGTCAACATATTTTTATCTCGTTCCACTATTTTTTTTCAGTAGACCTACGTTCTAGTTTAACAATTTTAATAATTTGAATTTCAGGCAAATGGACATGACTTATCACTTGAACTTATACTTATATCAATTACACTGACTAACTTAATTATACTTGACTTAATATGTCTTAAACTTATATTATTTATATGAGCCATCAATAATAAATCAAATTCATTATTCATCAATTTATCATACTCATATTTATTTTATACAACTTGTCAACTAACTATAAAACTATACTAAAACCAGTGTTCTCATTAGTTTAAAGTGCAGCAGGATGATTAAAGCACTCGGTTTGCTAAAGTTAAAGACTGAAGAGCCGCGATTTGCTGCCCACCACTGACTTAGACTAATATTACTAATATACACATTTTATATGAACAAACTCAAAATATTAAAATTAAAATTGTCAAACCATTCAATATACTGTATAAATATACTAATATTAATAAAAGAATACTAAGTAGTAAGTATGAAAATGAACTATGAAATTTGTGTAGACTTAGTCAGACTAGACAATGTCAATGTTGTGAAGTTAAAGTTTAGAAGTTTATATTTGTAGTATTGTAGTGTTTTTTTCAATTAATTAAGTTAATTAAGTAAGTCAATAAGCCAACAGCCTACGCCTACACTGGGCCTACAGCCTACTACAGTCTTGAAATACTTGAAATAGTATCCTCTTCTTCTCATTGAGATGTTTCTTGCGTTTCAGAATGGAGCAGTTACAAAACAATTATTACTCCGAAACCAGTCTCGGCCTACTGTTCCCCTAAATCATGTCTTCTGTACTCACGATTATAATCTAAGAGCTCTCCTTTAAAAAAACAACCATTTCGCATCATCAGACAGCTGTCGAAGGGTCTGGATCGGATACAAAATCTAGCTCACAAATGTATATGCAGGGCGTTGCGTACTACTCCCACGGCTGCTGTGGAAATATCTCAGTGTAGAACCACTAAACATCAGGAGGGACAAGGCCATCCTAACGACCGTAGAGTGTTACCGTCGAATGGAAAGGACTGAACGCTGTTTCCGATTACAAGACCCCTGGGTTAAGAGGAGAAGGCTTAAATGACCATCCTTTATGGATGCAGTCCATTCAGTTGAGAACAAGCACCCTTTTGCCAGGAAACAGGGAGAAATACGCCTGATCCCGGAGCGATCACCCCAGGATGACTGCGAACCGCCTGATATAACGTCTGACCCTGTCAAACATGGCAGTTAACAAGTCGAGACCCCAAAATGAGCAAAAGGGGGCCACACTAGACACGATCGAGTCATATAAAGACGGCGAGAAGCGGGTAAGCTACGGCGCACTCATACTGTACCCAAAGGGGGTCCCTCCAACAGAGGAGATTTAAGGCCCAAGTGGCACGAATAACACTGCAACTGAAGCAGAAATCGAAGCTATAATAATGGGCCTGAAACAAGTGTGACGTAGATTAGCCAGATGGTCAGACGTAAAACACTTCCATCCATTGTAGTGTTCACCGATACACAATGTGCTCTCGAAATTGTGCAAACGCAATTTTGGAGCTAGTACGAGACATACAGTCTCACGGAGGCAAAGCGACCCTACAATGGATCCCAAAACATGCGGGGATCCCGCCACAAGATAGAGTTCACTATCTTTCGAGACAAGGCTCTTCCCAGCCTCAACCTAACCGACCAATGACCCAAATGGGGGCCAAGGCCTGGATCAAGAACCTCTTCCGTGAGCAATGGATTAAAGAATGGGAAAAATTTAACGAAGCATGCCCAAAACGAACAGCAAGGGCGATCAGTGGTGGTGTTAAATGCCACCAGCAGAGCCTCATGACGAAGATGAAGACAGAGCATTGCCCTACCCGTAGCTACCTGAATAGGCTGCACCCACTGCGGGACCCAAGCTGCCGGCCTTGTGCACAGGCGCCGGAGACAGTTGAGCACCTACTAGCCGAGTGCTCGGTGCTAGCGACTGGTATGATTGGTGTGCTCCCAGCCAACCATGTTGAGAGCCTGATCTACGGGACTGCCCAGCAAATGAGGCAGGCCTGTTCCATACTTGCCGGGGGCATTAAAGAGAAATAGCTTGATCCCAAAAAGTGAATGTAATATTTCAGGCATGCGTTGTATTTTTTTCCAAATGAGTCAATAGTTCCTAATATTAAGGTCGTCTATTTAGCTCTGTGAGGGCGGTACTTTGGGGATTTGTATATTACATTAGGCACACATAAATGTTGGGTGTTGAGGTTACGACTATATACAGTGTGCAGCGCACTTTTGAGATTCTGCATTTTAATAGTCAATCAAGTTACGACACTGCACAGCTTGGGTTTCGCCCGATCCCCCCTCCTTTTTTTTTTTTTTTTTTTTTTTTTTTTTTTTTTTTTGTGTTTGTTGCTTCATAACTCCAGTCCCAGACGTTGGGTTGATGGGAAATAGTCCCTAGTGAGGAGTCCAGTGCCCAAATTAAATCCAGATCACCTGCGAAAAAAAAAAATGTGGGGGCGGGGTGTGTGTATATAACATATGGGAATGCAGTCGATGGTAAAAATATCCACGGATTGGACAAAGGTCGGATCTCATCTTTGTAACAAGACTTTAGGATTGGCAAATGACTTAAAACCATGGATAATATACAGGGGACTGCGTTCAAGCCATGTGAAGTAAATAAATAGTGGAACAAGATAGCTTTAGGCGGAAAAAAAGGGGGGGGCAGAATAATTAAAAAGAAGTTTCGGCTAAACGTCTTCTTCAGCAGACAATACAAAATAATAAATTATTTGAAATTTAAAAAAAAAGTTTAATTTTCCCAGATCAACTGCATCTCTCCCAGTTTCTGTGTAGAAACAAGGGCGCTTTATAAAAACGGAAGCCTAAATTATCTTGTTCCACTATTTATTAATTTAAGACCAATCGGGGCGTCTATTAATTGTCAATAAAATACGGGGGGTGGGGGTGGAAATGTTTGACAGTTGTTGACAAGGGAGAGGGGGGGGGGGTTACATTAGTTGACGTCAACAATCATGTTTTCTCTATTAAAATTTTCATCTAAAAAATTGACTGGTTATTACATTATTTAAAATAAAACATTTATTGAATGTAAATAGCCATATAATTTTTAGGCTTTTAACAATGTAATATTGATTTGATTTATGTCTGTCTGTGGACTGCAGATCGCTGGTTAGAATGTTAGCACACTTTGTTAGTGCAAGAAAAGACAAAAGTTGGTCTCTCTTTACCTGTAGATTCTGATTGTCGCAAATGACTAGGGCGGTATGTTTGCGATCATGTTGAAGGTATGGAACAAGGACAAGGTTCAAGTGTCATGTGCAGTCAAGATAAATGATATTAATAGAGAAGGAATTCGATATTTTTTAGACTTAAGGGAAAATAAAGTGAGTAACAATGATAACATCGCTGTTTGAATGAATTTGCAAAATCTGTATAATCAATTTTGCATCACAAGCCATGTTGAAAAGGCATTTTAAAACAGCTCCGACAATGCCCCGTTGAGAATAAGACAGCAGCACCTGCTCCTCAACAAAAACGGAGTCGACCAATGCGAGTAGCTGCAAGGAGATAGAAGAGAGATTATTGCAATTATTGCTTACACTGACCATGCTTCTATTTTAAGTGCTGAATGGTTAGATGATTATGATGATGAATTCTCTGGTATAACAGTTCAGCAAGATGAAAATGATAAATCAGGTACTATGGACTATGCTCATCAGGGGCAATAAGGGGAGAGACTGCAATCAGGTTAGTACAAAATAAAATGAGTTAAACAGAGTAGGGTTAAACCTGAAAAAAATAAACGCAACAAAACAGCGAACGTATAGGCAGAAAGCCTTCGTCAGTGAACAAAACAACAGAAAAAACGGTATAAAAATAAAAATAAGGAATAGCACTTAGCTGGTAAGCAGTATCTGTGGTCAGCAATAGAAGTGTGGCAGAAGGAAAGTGGGTGAGTGTTTAAATATGCAACGGCGAAAAAAAGGGGGGGGGGGAGAAAAAAGTCACTGTGATAGGTCAGAACGTGGAGGGGCGGAGCTAGGACTGTTTATCTTGTGTAATGTTTCGGAGGTGTTCGGTACACCTGGTAGGGAGACGGCGTCCAGTCTCCCCTAAGTACGTCATCTGACAGCGGGTGCAGACAATGGCGTAGATAACGTTGCGGCTTGTACAGAGGAAACCGTCGCGTATCTGAAAACTGCCCTTAGGGAAACGTATGTGTTGAGTCTGGACGACAAAAGAGCAAGTGTTGCAACGGCTTGGTCTCAAAGTGGGAGGGGGGAGCATTGATACGACTGCGCACAAGGAGGTCTCTCAGATTTTTATCCCGTCTGAAAGCAATGAGAGGTGGGGAAGAGAACATTTCTCGTGTGTCGGTGTCTGCGAGTAGTATAGATCGATGTTTAAGGAAAACACGTTTAGCAATCCGATTGTGAGGGTGATAAGTTATAATGAGTTTTGTCCTGTCAACATTGTCGCTCAGACGTGGTCTGAAGGCATCAGCACGTGTAATATTCTTAACTCTTTGGAGGGCTGATGAAAGCACTGTCTCCGGGTAAGACATATCATTTCAAGTGCTTTGTCCCAAAAGTCCTCATCCGACCGACAAAGTCGACGAAGACGAAGTAATTGAGAGAAAGGAATAGAGTCTTTACAGGATCTAGGGTGGGATGAAGAGTAGAGTAGATTGCTGTGGCTGTCATTGGGCTTAAAGTAGGCAGATGTGAGTAGCGTGTCTTTGTGAAGAGTGACTGTAATATCTAAGAAATTGACTGAGGTCTCAAAGATAAGAGATGTGAATTTAATGGAGGGGTGAAAGGAGCCTACAAAGTTAATGAACAGGTCAAGTTCACTCCTCTCCATAGTAGTGACCCCTACACCATCATCTATGTACCTCTTATAGAATTCAGGGAGGCGTCCAGTATAGCTGCTTTCGACCATGTGTTCGAAATGCCCCATGAACAAGCAAGCATAATTGGGGGCGTCATTTCAGGATTTTTCCAGGGGGGGAGGTGGGGGGGGGGTGGTCAAAACCAAAACTCGGTCCCCTTTTTAAGTTTTTTATTACTGGAGGCGCCACAGTACATAGCAAATTAAATAAAACCCGCAAATGCCCCCCTGCCCTACCCAAATGATGTCCCTGATACCCATTGTTACGATAGAGCAACACCTGGCTACATCATGGCCATGGGAACTTGTTAGCAACTAGAAACTATACTATAAATCAGGGGTCGGGAACCTATGGCTCGCGAGCCAGATGTGGCTCTATTGATGGCTGCATCTGGTTCGCAGACAAATGTTCGATTTAAAAAAAAAGTCGCATTAATGGTAAGAAATACTCATTATTGATTAGCAATAGCATAACAATGTTATTAAAAAGAATACAGAGACCTAATTATTGCATTTTTAGTGTTGAAATTACACAAAATGCACACTGTTACGCACTGACTTGTATTGGGAGAAATTAATCTCCTATTTTAATTTTAATTGGCTCGTTGTAAGCAGTGCCTAACAAAGGACGTTACCATAGAATCAACATTATTAAAGATACTACCCAAAACAGTTTCTAGTCACAATTAATTAAGATTTATTATGTCTTAAGATAATTACAAAGGAAAAGAAAAATATAATTACAATCTTCAACTTACAGTATGGTAGATCTTGTACCGGTACACAGTTAACACAGTTAGAATAATGTGCCAATAAATAATGCGAAATAAACATATATGAGCATACAAATACACAAAGAATAAAACACGCCTCGTAATGTTAAGAAAATTTATCTGAAAATCTCCCTCTCTCGTCCGTGCGTGTCAATCCCATATATAGGTGGGTCTACC